AATCTATATATATAGTAATTTAATTAAATAATAAATAATAAAATTTATTGATATATTTTATAAGACATTTGCGTCTTCAATTATTTATAATTTCTCTTATTAAAATTGAGTCAAATGTTTAAATTAATTAATTTACAATTGACGCTAAGTATATTTAATTAGTTCATATTTTATTAATTCGTCAAACGAATAGTAAAACCAATGATGAAAATACGTCAAGGATTTAATACTAATATTAACATTTTCTGATATCGAATAAAACTGAGATTATTTAATAAATTTGTTTTCAAGTTACACCGAATGCGATATATTGCTGGATTTTATTCTCGGAGGACTTCCATTTTCCTTTTTAAATCCTTTGCAGGTTGAGATACATTAAGCGGAAAGCTTAAGCTGCTTCAAATGCGCTCATAGACGAAGCTCGTTGCGCTCGCAAAAGTGTATCTTACATTTTCGGAGAGAGTTCACAATATGCAACAGTTCCCGAGCGCCGATCTACGCACTGAAGACGCCTTTAAAACCGCGCTGCTTCGACCCGGTGATCGCAACTAGTTTAAATAAGATTTTCAGCAAACTCGATGAAAAGTCTCTCCGACGAAAATACGAGTAAGCAAGCATTGAGCAAGCTAGATAATGGCGGACAGCACAGAAGCAACTTGGCGAAATTACGGTTTTCTCAATACACTGACGGAATGGTACTCATGCAGGAGTTGCGAAGTTTCGCAAAAGCGGAAGATTTTTCACGCTCAAGACGAGATATCTTTATTTAAAATTCTCTAACTTTTCAAGTTGAATTCAATTATTCGTTCTCCCAATTATTTTTTTTCGGTGAGGCGATTCGGGCACTAGCAATGTAGAAGCGCATTCATTACATGAATACGTTCATTTTAGCGAACAATTTTTAACGATCTGCTCGCAATTAAGCAAATCGCTCTAGTAGAAATCGTCATTCGAGTTTACGTTTCAACTTTTAGTACATATCCTCTTGTCTTGCACATGAGAAGTTTTCTCTTATATAGGTGATAAAAGATCGTACGTAATTTCTTATTTTT